TGGGGGGGTGGGGGAGGGAGCAGGGAAGTTCTTCGGAAATCTTCCCAAACGGATACGGGGTAACTATCGACTTGCAGTGAATGGGAGGATTTGGAATATACTGCCGTAGCTAGCTAGCTAGTCAGTAAGTGAAAACTATTGCATTCCAGTTCATCTGATTAGTAGACGGATGAAATTTTCTAGAGCAATTTCATTTACTAAACTGCTTTCTATTCTCATGTTCAATAATGATAAAACCTATGCACCCAGATTTCGCAGATAATGTTCGTGGCTACAAAAGGCAAGTTGAGTTCTTTGACAACTTGCTGTGAACCATTGGGCCATAGTTTCCTAATCCGGTTTTTATGGAGCGAATCCGGTTTGGCATTCTCATATTTCACAAGTACACAATAGTGCAATCGAAGAGTTTGTAAATCTTTCCCAGTACGAGTTCACCGAGTCGAATGAGGTTGATGGGGTGTTTGTGTGTCTACCATCCATATGTTTTGTCATCAAAAAAAAACTAGTGCCTATCGTGTAATACCGTTAGGGTTCAGGGGGCAGGTATCTCATCAACTATATCGGTGCCAATCGTTTCACACTGTTCCCATTTCGATAGGTCTATGCAACGCATCTTTTTAGGGCACATGCGAATGTGAAGACACTCATTGGCTGGTACTTGCATAAATTAAATATGAATGAGAGAAGCACATTTGGATCCACCTATTCCGACAGACAGGCAGGTAGACAGACAGACAAATAGACAAACGGACAGGCTGACAAATAGACTCACAGAGAACTAATGGAAAATTACGTTCACTGAGCTGAAAGGTGCGCGATATATGTTGATTTGACGGAGCCGTAACAGTTGACCGTTGAATTTCAACACCAAAGTGAGTCGGGTCAAATAATGTGCTCGGAGTGTTTAGCTCAGAGTAAACAAAGGCTTTGCACGAGACGGGAGCTTCGGAGAGCCCTTATTTTACAGTGAATCAATGAAAATTGTCTTAGAAAGCACTAAATCTTAATAATATACTTATAGCAATTTTCAGTAGGCTATCTACAATCCGAAAAATATGGTTTGATCAGATAAGGAAATTCAAAGCACTTCAAATGGTTACACGTCAAATCCACCGGGCAAAACACCCGAGGAAGAAGCATGGCTAAGTGACTCAAACGTACAAAACTTCACCCCCCAGCCATGCACGTTTCACTATCGTGATCATCCCTCCTTGTGTTACTGGGTCGTTCTGAAAAATATTCATTTTCTTCCCGAGTTCAGTATTATTACAACAATGTATATAAATATTTATACATACATATAGAACGGCATCCATTACAACCGTTAGTGCATAAACAAACTTAATTCAACTCAAAGCCGATATGCTCCTTCAGTGACGAGAATGATTCAATCAATGTTGAACGAGAGAAGTGAGTTAGTGACTTTCATGCAATTGGGATACGCGTAAAACGCACGAATTATTCATTTAATTTTCCGGTAATGTTTGCCGCATCAACAAGACCCAAATGATGTAATGCTGCTCAATACAGATGAGATATGTCGCTATATCAGTGCACAAACAGCATTTATTTGTTTTGTTCCTTTGGGGTTGGTTTGCTCCAACGTAAGTAATCCAGAACACTTATTGGATTTTAGGACTAATTATTTTATGAATCATACCCGAGTTTTCAATTCAAGTGTTCCCGACTGGAATCGCATCGAAGGAATCGTAAATGGATTTTGGCAATAACTGGATACTTTCAGAGATGAAACAGAACAGAATCGGAGATTGATTTGTAGGTTCAAAAATAAGATATTTGTCAGTTGAACACTATTTTATATTGATTTCAACATCCCACACCACGACTCACAAGTAATTGTGAGTTAAATGTGAACTATCTTACATTATTATATCAGTCAATTATATCAATCAAACCTCAGAACATTCCACTCATCTTAGCCACTCAAACTAAATAATCAACAGCCAGTTTCAGCCGTCTCTGTTCAATCAGTCCCTTACGGTCTCCGGTACACTGATCGTGCTGGTACGCAGTTGAATAAATCGACTTGAGAGCATCAACTGATATGTACGATAAGCGAACTAACAACAGACTTTGGCAGCATTTGATCATAGTGTTAGATAGATTTAAAAAAGTAATTTGGAGACGTCTTCAGGGTCCCAGTGTGTCTAGACAAGGTAAATGTACAGCCGAAATGAAGGCTTTCCGTCTTAAATAAGCCTAACTATGTCAACGAAAGAGGGTTGTTCACACTGGCAGATTGTCCACCAACATGACGTGACTAACGGTTTATTCGAGACAAAGCTCACTACTGCCTCCTGACAAAGCCAGCCAGTAGTATCGCAGTTGAAATCCTTCTGTTGCAATGCTTACAGGTTTTTCTAATCGATAGAATCTTCCTCGTTCGTGTAGTCCCAACGATAGTCACTTGGTGTCTTACAAAGATTGGGGTACTTCAAGGCCCTTGGTCTGATGCTGTTTGTCGTCTGTCAGTGGCCTGTCTAAAATTTTGCATTACTCGTTACTCATGTATGCCAGTGATATCAAAACGAGATGCACTACTCGGATTTCTGACTGCTATTGGAAGATTCGAACGTGCTGATTCAGATGGTGGCAGTTTGCTTGTTGCGGGTAACACTGTTCAGAGTGCTTAGGATAAGCCGAATCGGAGGG